TGGCTCTTACAAAAAAAAAAAAAAAAAAGTTTATTGGTTTTTAGATAGAGGAAGGCAGAGGGAGAGGTAGAAGCATTAATCAGCTGCCTCCTGCACGCCCCCTACTGGGGATCTAGCCGAAACCCGGCATGTGCGCTGACAGACACAGTGGGTGTCTGTAAGCCCCGGGGAGGTGGCGGGGGGGCGGGGGCTGGCCTGGCTGACGGGTCCTCCCACTGCCCTCGCCCGAGGGCCTCACTGCCCCTGCCTTTGCAGCACTGAGCTGATGCGGCGGGTCCAGCGCTTCCAGATCGCCCAGTACAAGTGCTTGGTGATCAAATACGCCAAGGACACGCGGTACAGCACCAAGTTCTCCACGCACGACCGGTCAGTCCCGCCCCCTCCTGACACCTCACCTGAGAAGCCCCGTGAAGTTTCACGGCACAGAACCTGCTGTCAGAGCCTCCGGTGGGCGGTGAAGAAGGCTGACGCCTGGCATGGAGTGTTCCAGTCGGCAAACTTCCCGGGTTGCCTGGCACGGGAGCCTGGGACGAGGCCTTTCCCGGGGCTCGAGCCCCTGGTCCTTCACGGGGGCGATTCTGCCCCCAGAGTCCATTCAGCAACGCCTGGGAATGTGTTTAGTTTTCACAACTGCAGCGGGGTGCGTGCCTCTGGCATCGGAGGGCAGAGGGCAGGGGTGCTGCTGGGCATCCTGCAATGCTCAGGGCCTAGGGCAGCCCCCACGCCACAAGGACCCGCCACTGTCGCCTGTAGCGCCTGCCAAGGTTGAGAGCCCTGCAGAGGCTGCAAGCTGGTTTTGTTTGGCCTACATTTTGGTTTTTGTTGTTGTTTTTCATTTATTTTTAAACTAGAGGCCCCGTGCACGAATTTGTCCCTCGGCCTGGCTGGCGATCAGGCCAATCGGGCCCGTCTTGCCCATCCCGATCCTGGCCGATCAGGGCTGGCCATGGGGGAAGGACTGCGGGAGGTTGGCTGTGGGAGTGCACTGACCACCAGGGGGCAGCTACTGAATTGAGCATCTGCCCCCTGGTGGTCAGTGTGCATCATAGTGACCGGTCCATAGGTCGTTTAGTTGACCAGTTGTAACGGTCGCTTAGGCTTTTATATATATATATATATATATATATATACATATATTTTTATTGATTTTTAGAGAGGAAGGGAGAGAGAGATAGAAACATCATCAATGAGAGAGAATCATTGACCGGCCGCCTCCTACACAGCCCACACTGGGGATGGAGCCCGAAACCCCGGGCATGTGCCCTGACCAGGAATCAAACTGTGACCTCCTGGTTCATCGATTGGTGCTCAGCCACTGAGCCACACTGGCCGGGCTACACATTGGGTTTTATTTTAACTTCAGTGGGCTGTCCTCGCCCACTCCCTGTGGTCTTGCCCCTTCACGGCCCCTGGCTTATGTTTCTCTGCCTGCGCTCCATGCACATTTCAGTCTGCAACGTGAGGTCGGGGTTGCCTTCAGTTCCCCTCCTGGGCAGCAGATCGGGCCTGGTTCTGAGCCTGAGACACACCTGTCTGTCCTTTGGACTTGCCCACCAGAGCCCCAGCAGCAAAACGGCGCGGTGTGTGTGTGTGTGGGGGGCCCAGGCGGGGCGAGGCGAGAGTGTGGGGACTTGGAGGTGAGTGTCTGGGATTAGAGGCCACTCGCAGCCATGCTGACTGGTGCAGGCCCACTTACCTCCCAGAGTGCGTCCTCATCCCTGAAACTGGGCGCCCGCTGCACAGGACGGGGCGCCTCCGGGAAGGACCGTAAAAGCAGAGGAGGCAACGCAGCGGGAATTGGAGCCGGTCAGATGGGGTGAAATCCCAGCCCTGGCTGTGTCACCGTCCGGGCTGACATGGCTGTCAGGGTGGCGTGACTACGCTCCTATGCTGCCCTCGCCGAAGCTGGGAAGCTGGGACCAGCTCGCGCCCGCCCGCCTCTGCTTTTCTCCATTTCAGGAGGGGAGGGGGCATTTAAAAGGCAGGAAGTTGTAGGTGATGGCAAGGTAATAACCGGGTTGTGAGGGGCTTTGTTTTTTATAAACACAAGAGCAAACTGCTGAGCCTCCGGGAACGGCCAGCCCCTGGAAGGCTGGCGCAGGAGGCAGATATGGAAACAGAAGGAAAGAACCTCGTAGGAAAAACAGAAACTCTTTTAAAAGGCGGAGGACAAAGCACAGCACGGCTCTCCTGGGCGGTGGGCGCGCGTGGGTCCCGGTGCCATTGACCGCAGTGGAACTTGCCCACCCGCCGCCCACACTGCTGGTAGGACTCCCCCCGGGACCCAGGCGGCGGGCGGCCCTGGAGGAGTCCCTCCGCTGCCGAGGAGCCGGTGCCAGAGTCCTAGGTCATCGCACTGCTGCTGAGCTCTGCCCGGGCCACGCCACCGCCTTCCTGGGCACTCGGCCTTCGTGAGTCTTCCTCCATCCAAAGGAAAAAAGTACATTATATTTTATGACTGCATTGATGTGGAGACAGATGTAATGCAAGGCTGAGATACACATATATGTATTTACTATGTTTTTATTGATTTCAGAGAGGAAGGGAGAAGGAGAGAGAGAGAAACATCAGTGATGAGAGAGAATCATAGATCAGCTGCCTCCTGCACGCCCCCCGACTGGGGATGGAGCCCGCAACCCAGGCGTGTGCTGTGCCCTGACTGGGAACCAAGCTGCGACCTCCTGGTTCATAGGTTGGAGCTCAACCACTGAGTCACACTGGCCGGGCAAGGCTGAGTTATATTTTTCTTCCGATTTTTAAATGAAATGAAAACATTTTGTTGGCCCCTAATGGCACCGTGGGGCCTGGACACTGCCCGAGAGTCATCAGTGCACCCCGGGGCCCCGGGGGGGAAGCAGAGAAGCGCTTTACGTGGTTGACATCGCTAATTTCTAGTCCTGAGCGTGCGGTGAAATGGCGTGTGTAGAATAACCGGTTTTCCGCACATGGGCCCTTACTCTCCCCAGAGGCCTTTGCGTGGGCGCGGACATCGCCAAGCTGTAGGCAAACATGGCAGCCTGCCCTGCCAGCAGAGCTGGTGCCAGCGCCGGCCCCTGGTCCTGCCTCTGGTTTGGGTCTCCGGGTCCCCCTGGCCTGCTCACCCCCGGCTCTCTCCCCAGGAACACCATGGAGGCCCTGCCGGCCTGCCTGCTGCGGGACGTGGCCCAGGAGGCCATGGGCGTGGCTGTCATCGGCATCGACGAGGGGCAGTTTGTAAGTTGGCTCGTCCGGGCTCGGCCTTCCTGTGACCCCCTGACCGCCCCCCTTTCTCATCTTGGTCTTGTTCTCTGGGTTCAGCTGGGCAGCGAGTGGTAGGTTGACCCCTTCGCCTTGCTCCTTTGGAGACGCGCCTGCAGGCCCGTCGCCGCAGGGAGGGTCGCGGCCGCCCTGCCTGCAGCTCCCTCTCCCGCCGGCGAGCGGCTGCTCTCCGCACAGCGAGCCGCAGGGCTTTCGTGTCCATTCCTCCTGGTTCGTGTTTGGTGTGTCTTCTGACTGTGAGCGCTCGAGGCTTGGTTTCTGGCCGGGAGCCGTCTGCCTGTGAGGTTCTCCGGGCACTGCGTCCCCATGTGCTGGGTTTGAGGACTATTTTCCATTTCCGGGATTTCCGGTCAGCTCCTCTTTTTTATTTTTATTTATTTTTTTATTTAAATATTTTATTGATTTTTTTACAGAGAGGAAGGGAGAGGAATAGAGAGTTAGAAACATCAATGAGAAACATGGATCAGCTGCTTCCCGCACACCCACTACTGGGGATGTGCCTGCAACCAAGGTACATGCCCTTGACCGGAATCGAACCTGGGACCCTTGAGTCCACAGGCCGACACTCTATCCATCGAGCCAAACCGGTCTGGGCATTTATTTATTTTTTAAAATATGTTTTTGTTGATTTCAGAGGAAGGGAGAGGGAGAGAGAGAATCATTGAGCATTGATCGGCTGCCTCCTGCACACCCCCCACTGGGGATGGAGCCCGCAACCCGCGCATGTGCCCTGACCAGGAATTGAACCGTGACTTCCTGGTTCATAGGTCGACCTCAGCCCCTGAGCCACGCCGGCTGGGCCAGCTCCTCTTTTATATCTGCTGCGCGTCTGCCTGTAAGAATCTGCATTTCTTTCTAATCGGTGCTGTGCGTGCATCCTGTCCTGACTGCGTTTCTCTTTCATTCGAGTCTCCGTTTAAGGCCTGCCCCATTTTTCTCTCGGTTGGTCCTACATCTAGCAGATGTGACATACCTGGTGCCGCTCGGTCATGTGCTGTAAATATTTCTTTTTTTTTGTTTAATTTTCACCTGAGGATATTTTCCCATTGATTTTTAGAGAGAGTGGAAGGAAGGAGGGAGGGAGGAGAGAGAGAGAGAGAAACATCGATGTGAGAGAGACATCAATGATGACAGAGAATCATTGCCTGCAACCAAGGTACGTGCCCTTGACCGGCATTGAACTCGGGACCCTTCAGTCTGAGGACCGACGCTCTATCCACTGAGCCACACCGGCCAGGGCGTAAATATTTCTTCTCTGTTCTGGCCTGTACCGTTTGCTGTCACATCCTTCATTCCTGTCCCTGGTGGCCTTCGTGCCTCGGTGCCAGCATGAGGGCCAGGAAGCGGAGCCAGAGGTCGTCAGCTGCCACCTGAGCCAGCCAGCTCTGGGGGTGCACACCTACCTCCCGGGGTCCTGGTTTCCCCTTTGGGTTCTCCCCCATTGGACCTTGCTCAGGAAGCAGCTCGCTGCAGGTGGGGGCGGGGGCGGAACCGGCCCGGGACCCCAGTGGGCAAACGCGCCACCACCCTCCTTTCCTACCTTGTCCCTGTACTGCAATTACTTTATCTACAACGAAGCCCCAAATTTACTAAGTACTTTGAAATCCCATTTGAAATGTAACCTGTCGCCTGGCCGGTGTTGAGTGTCGACCTGTGAACCAAGAGGTCACCGGTTTAATTCCCCGGCAAGGGCACAGGCCCCGGTTGTAGACTCGATCCCCAGAAGGGGGCGTGCAGGAGGCAGCCGGTCAATGAGTCTCTTAACATTGATGTTTCTATCTCTCTCTCCCTCTCCTTTCCTCTCTGAAATAAAAAAGATATATATATATTTTTAAATGTAAATCCTTAAAAAAAAAAAATCAATGGACAAAATATGCTCGCTCCTTGAGTGACGATTAGTTAAAATCCAAACAAAACTAACGGCAATAAGTGTCAGCAGCGAGGTTACCGGCGGGTGAATGCAGCCGACACCTGGGTGCTCCGTCCTTACCTTGGGCCGTGGGGAAGTCCTTCCTGGGGCCCAGGGCTAGCGGGCGCTGGGGGCGGGCGGCATGGGAGCGGGACAAAGCTTCAGGCAGAAGCACCTGCCCTTCGTGGGCACCAGTGTCGCGAGTGGGGGGCCGAGGTCCCTCCGAGCGTCCTATGATGAGGAAGGGCTGTCCTGCCGTGTCGGTGTGGAGGGCGATGGCCAGTGGCAGGCCTTCCCCGTGGCTCCCGGAAGCTGCTGCTCAGGGTGGCTGGGCGCTCACTCCTCCGCCCGCGCTTTCCAGTTCCCGGACATCGTGGAGTTCAGCGAGACCATGGCCAACGCCGGGAAGACGGTCATCGTGGCTGCGCTGGACGGGACCTTCCAGAGGAAGGTAAGGCCCAGGTCTGGGTCCTGGGGTGGGACCCGGAGGGAGGAAGAGGCCTGGAGGCACAGGTGTGCACGGAGACCGGCAGCCCCGCGAGCCTCCCCGTCTCAGCCGGGCGCTCGCCCGAGCCCAGGCCCTCAGATGAGCCAGCCCAGCTCCCTGGTGTGCCCAGGCGTGAGTCCACCCAGACTGGGTGCCCTCATGGCAGAGGCTGGCATGGGGGGAAGGGGCACGAGGTCCAGGCTCCAGGGCTTGTGAGTCAGAGGATTTGAAAGCCGAGCCCGGCCAGGTGAGCACACCTGCTGCCCCGGCCAGGCCTTCGGGACCATCCTGCACCTGGTGCCGCTGGCCGAGAGCGTGGTGAAGCTGAACGCCGTGTGCATGGAGTGCTTCCGCGAGGCCGCCTACACCAAGAGGCTGGGCCTGGAGAAGGAGGTAGCCGCCCACTGCGCCCAGGGGTGGGGGCCCGGGGTGCTGTGCCCGCTCAGTCCAGGCCCCTTTGTGTCCCCAGGTCGAGGTGATTGGAGGAGCCGACAAATACCACGCCGTGTGCCGCCTCTGCTACTTCCGGAAGCCGTCGGGTCCGCCCGCCACGCCGGACGGGGAGGACAAGGAGAACCGCCCGGCGCCGGGGAAGCCGGGGGAGGCTGTGGGCGCCAGGAAGCCCCTGGTCCCGCATCAGACCCTGCAGTGCAGCCCGGCCAACTGAGCCTGGGGTGGCGCCCCCTCTCGGACACCTGCCCGCGCTGAGCCGCCCGTCGGAGGAGGAAGCGGGCGGGAGGCTCACTGGCTGAGGAAGGCTGTCTGCAGGCCCGGGCCCGCGGGTGGTCCAGCAGGTGATCCGCAGCCCGTTTCCCTCTTTGCCTGCCCACCAGCCTTTCTCAGTTCCCTCCCGGCTGCTGAGCCGGCCCCGCGCTGCGGCTCCTTCTCCTTTGGGTGAGGAGCAGGCCACAGGCTGTGGTGACATCAGCGGCGCTGGCTTCTTCCCTCTCTGTGGCTTTCGCTGCTGAGTTTCTGTTCTCACCGGCAAGTCCCGGAGCACCAGCACCGAGTCTTGCTCCACACGAAGGCGGCCATCCCTGTGCCGGGGACGGAGGACGGCCCGGCTTGTGCCTTCTCGCTTCTCTCCGGGCTGCGAGCCCTCCCTATTCTGGGATCACTTTCTCAGAAGGACAGCTTCGGTCACGTGGGTGGCGCTCACCCTGCTGGGGCTCGGGCCCAGGCTTTGCTGTCTTTTCGGG